AAAGTACCTAGGAACTTAATTTCCCTATGGCTTCTCCAAATAAGTCCACTACAAAAACTGTTGAGAAATGTTTATTTTGGCAGAACAGTATTGACTGAAAAGCTAATCTGGGAATTCAGACATTCATGGAACCTACACTCACAAAAAAAGTATGACTGCTTTAAGGAATAAATATGGATTTTGGAGAGAGAGAGAGAGAGAGAGAGAGAGAGAGAGGGAGAGGGAGAGGGGGGAAGAGAGAGAGAGGGAGAAAGGGAGAGAGAGGGAGAGAGGGAGAGAGTGTACTGACACTTAATCTCAGGCCCTCATACTTTTTTGCTCAAGGCAGCCTCCTCACCTCCAATTCAGCTTTTTGATAGCTTTAAGTCAACATCCTCAGATCTTAGCCTCTTGAGTTGCCTGGCCTGAAGTTTAATTTTTAATAGGTCTAGACCTTTACGAATACCATATTCATCACTGGGAACTGGTTAAAGGAAGAAGGGCTTTGGTCTGAGTTGGATTCCTAAACACCAATGCAACTGGGAATGAAGTCGTGAGTTCAGGCTTTATCATACTGCTTTTCTCATTGACTCAGTTTGGGAGATGCTAAGGTGGCTTAGGGCCACTCTAAAGAATCTAGACACAGTGGTAAAGTTGATGCATAGCACAAGGACTGTGGCAGAAGGAGAGAGCAGAGCATGGACACTGACATTGGCTGAGACTGGATTCGTGTCTTGCTTAGTAACCTGAGCGTAGGACTAAGCCTCACAGAGGCCATCTGTAAAGTGGACCACAGACCTTTTCTGGTAGACTCATTGTTAGGACTAAATGAAATGGCATTTGTAAAGAGTGTGGGGTAGGTAGATCCTTACTAAATCAGTCCTTTAATCTATCCTTTTGAAATGAAAATGTTAATGTTTTTCTAGTAATACATTAATTGAATACATTTTGACAGCACATACATGCACACATATACAGTCTAAACCAGAAAATGGCAAATACCTAATTCGCAGTGATCTGTTGAATATTCCAATCAAAGAAAGAATTGACAGCAAGGTGGCAAAGAAGACCATTCCTGATAAGAGACCAACGTCTTGCCTATTGTCTAAAGAAAGGAAATAAACACAGTTTTAAAAGCATTTCATATGACACAAATATCACCATTGGTTTCTACTCAAAGTAGAACAGAACTGATCTCAAAGGAAGAGAAAAGCTAAGTCAGCCTTCAACTTGAGCCTAAAGAGATGGCTCTTCCAAGTTGCGTGGCTACACCCAGGAAACCCATTATGTGAAAACACTGGCTGAGGTCAGTGGGTTTCTAGAAGTGCATCTCCAGCAACTTGTGGTTAACTTGTACACTCACAGTTTATATGACTATGTTTAGTGCTAAACTTCTTTTGACTTGTCTGACGTGGGTAAGAATTCCCAACTGCCTGTGACAATGTCTAATGGGTCTCCAAATCACAATGATGGTTTTATTTGTGGTCTTTTTTTCAACTGTTTGTGTGAGACAAAATTTATGTGACAAATTTATTGTTCATTTTCCTGCCAAGATAGGACATTCATACTGCTTAGAACAACAGATGCTACAGAGAAAAGTGAAAAGTTTCTTTTTTCTTTCTCTCTCTTTTCTTCCTTTCTTCTTTCTTTCTTTTCTTTTTTCCCTCCATCCCCCTTTCTCCCTCCTTCTCTCCCTCCCTCTCTCCCTCCCTCCCTCCCTCCCTCCCTCCCTTCCTTTCTTTTTCTTTTTCTTGGGTCCTGTAGTGGGGCCTGAACTCTGGGCCTGGGCACTGTCCCTCAGCTCTTCAGCGGCTAGCGCTCTACCACTTGAGCCACAGTGCCACTTCCGCTTTTTTCTTTTTGCTTATGTGGTGCTGAGGAATCGAACCCAGGGCCTCAGGCATGCAAGGCAAGCGCTCTACCACTGAGCCACCTTCCCAGCTCCCCTTCCTTTCTTTTCCTTCTCTCTCTCTCTCCCTCTCTCTTTCTCTCTCCCTTTCTTTGTTTGTTTGTTTCTTTTTTTCTTTGTGGTACTAGAGCCTTGCACCTGTTAAATACAAATATGTCTTACAAAACCAGTTGGCAAAATTGCCTAAAACTTTCCTTAAATTTTATGTAGATTTTTATACTTTGCAGGGGATTTTTTACAGAAACGTATTTTCTCAGCACATGACTCACCTTATTACACAGAAACTTTCAACTGATTTGATTTTTTTAGTGTGTGGAGTTACTATCCAGGAAATCCTAGCCTAATCTCCTTTCTCTTCCCTCCTTTCTTCCTTCCCTCCTTCTCTCCCTCCAACCTTCCTTCTCTCCCTCTGTCCTTCCTTCTCTTTCTTCCACCCTCCCTCTTATAACCCAGTCCTTTATGCTTTAGTTATTTTTCAATGAAAAAAAATCAAACTTCCCTTTTTTCCCTGGGGTCAGTAGAAAATGTGATTCTCCTTTTTCTTTTTTAAATGTTGGCCATGGGGCTTGGCGCTGTCTCTCAGCTCTCTAGTTCAAGGCTTGTGCTCTACCACTTGAACCACAACACCACTTCCAGTTTTCTGGTGGTTTATTGGAGATAAGAGTCTCACAAACTTTCCTGCCCAGGCTGGCTTTGAACCACGATCCTCAGAACTCAACCTCATGAGTAGTTAGGATTAGAGGCGTGAGCCACCACTGTCCAGCTTGATTCTCCTTCCTATGCCTGCCAGGTAACTGGGATGAAAGGTTTGTGCCACCATGTTTAATTTTTATTGTTTAAGTAACTCTTTGCCTGAACTGGACCTGAACCATGATTCTCCCAATCTCTGCCTTCCATCCCTGTGATTACAGGATTGTCCAATCAGCCTTTTCAGTGGAATTTCCTTACCAGAAGTGAGGTGTTCTTTGAAGACAGAAGCAGTTGGCATCCCAGAAGTCTGGCTATCATGTTGGAATGATGCTGATGTGACCTGAAGGACTTCAACCACGAGAAAAGAGCATCAGCCTCTTACATTTGGCATTGAGGAGGACCATATCTCAGAGTCCTTCTCCCCTGTTTAGTGACATCTAAAAGAAACCAGTAACTTTAGTAGAATTGAATGGTGGAATAAAAGAAATAGCCTTTAACATGTGCCTTTTCTTTAATTGGGTACATCTTTGGGTGCATCTTTTCTTTAGTTGGGTACATTGTCCTTCCAGGACAATTAAAACTACTAAGGGTTGGTAAAGCTTTAAGTGAGTCCAATAGTTTTAGGGGGCTTCTAGGAACAAAAACCAAGGAGCCAGAAAAGGCACAATAATTGGTTTCTACTTGATTTCTTCCAAGAGGGGATCCAATGCAGTATATTTCCTTGAAGGACCCTGGGACTGTCCCCTTTGTCTCTGCAGGAGTTCAGGTTTGTTATTCACCGCTCTTGGCTTGCCTGAGATACTCTGATTTTGTTTCTTTGTACGTTAGTTTGTGTTTATTTTCTTATGTTCTCATTGCTGGTACTAGGACTTGAACTCAGAGCCTGAGCATTGTTCCTTAGCTTTTTTCACTCAAGGCTGGCCTTCAATCACTTGAGCCACAGCTCTACTTGGCATTTTTCTATGTGTGATTGATTGGAGGTAAGAGTTTCATGGAATTTCCTGCCCAGGGTTGGCTTGAACCACAATCCTCAGATCTCAGCCTCCTGAGTATTTATGATTACAACATGAGCCCCTGGCCCCTGGTTCCTGTGTCTTGATTAGCTGTCACTTAGTAGTTGTAACTCAAAGGATGAAATGTCTGTTCATTTCCTGCTGGTACAGGCCTTGGCAGTTCTGTCTTATCATCAAGTGTGCCAAGGCCCTGCTAACGAAAGCTTCTGACCTGATAGGGCTGAGCTGTCTTGGCAGCTCACTTACTTTCAGTCTGAAGTCATAAAATTCCCAGGAGCATCCTTGCTCATCTCCTTGATAATTAATAACTCCTACGTGACCTCAAAAACAGTTTCCCCAGTTGAGAGAGGCATTTCTGAAAATGGTGCTAAGTTTTGCTTCCCTGAGAACCCCTCAAGCCTTATTTACTCCATCATTCTGATATTGATATTCAAATTCATCTTGGGGCCAGAGAGAAGTCACATCTTGAGGTGCCCTTCAGGGGCTCATGTTAAGTTATATGGCCTGTGAGATTCTCTTAATGAAGTGGATCACACTTTCCCCCCACCCCCCCCAGGGAAAGTGCTCCTAGATATCTTCAGAACTTTTTGAAGAAGGCTAATTTGGGTGCAAGCTTGGGTTTGATTGAAAGGTAGTTTCCTAAGAACAATGGATGAGGGATTTTAGAAGATGAAAACATAAGAAAAGCCCAGAGCTCTTTCCTACGCTGCCCTGTCTTCTCTATGGTGAGAGGAGGGGGTTTTCTAGAACTTGGGACAACTAGAAATTCTTTTGTTCCCTGGCATGGGGTTCCACCAGAATATGAGAGATTAAAGTTGTATTCTCATGGCCAGTAGCCAGGTTTTCTTCATTTAATCAGTATCTCATAGGACAGTTCTTTTGTAGGCAGTTCCAGCAGGCATCCACATCTACATTATTTTGAAATGCGAAGAACAGAAATGCTACATTAAAATGAAACACAATTTTTACTTTGGCAAAAAAAATCACAGATTTGCGGCATACACTGCTATGTTGCTTTTATTTTCACTTTTTTAATATTAGGATTTTTATTGAAAAATAGTAGTGAGGTTTGTACTTTATACAGGCAAATGTAATTCTGTTGCATAAAGTACTGGTGGTTATTGGCAATAAAGCTTTATCCAATTATCAATTTGCATCATATAAAAATGATTTTCATATCTGAGCAGGGCTTTATTAGCTGTAATAAAGAAGAAAAGTAATCTTCCTTTAGAGTCTACTTGTTATCCTAGTTTCAAATCAACTAGGCGTGTTCATTTAAATTAGATTAAAGGCATTTTAAAGAGGTGCTTAATTATGAGAGGGTAATTTCACAAAGACAACTTATAAACAAGATTCTTGGAGGTGAAAGCAAGTCTGTGACAAAAGGCTTAATTATTAGGCTGAAATGAAGCATTGTAGACCTTATTCTTCATAGCATACTGCCACCAAGTGGCCACATCATCGCTTTATGTCATACTCAATCTTTCTCATAAAAGCAAAAATCATAACAGAAAAAAAATAACAGGAAGAAATAAAATCAGAGGGGGAAAACCTCCCCTCTACTTCCACTCCTTCAATTCAGTAGCTATTACCATTTTATAGTGTTTTCACATATTTTAGCAGAAACAGCCTTCAGAAACAGAATAGCACCCAGATTCTTTTACAAGTGAAAAACACTGTTGATGTCAACTCTAATAATCAAACTATTATCTAATATGCTAGGAAGTCCCTTTGAGATCTCCACTATTTATTTAAGGCTTGTGATGTTAAGCCCATAATGGAACAATTCGGCAGCAAAGCCCAATAGTCTCACAGAACCACCTGAGCATGCTCAGAAAACACAAATCATCTCGAATCAGGGGAGGATTTTTATCTGGTTTACACATACTAGCATTGAAATTTAGAATTCGCTTGACAGAAAACAATGTGTTTAAAGAGAATTTGGAATAGGTTCCAACAAGAATTATGGTTTAGTATTCTTGGATGAAACTTAAAGCATAACATAACCACATACCATGCCAAATTAAAGTAACCAAACCTATTCAAAAGACCTGTTTTTTAAAATAGCAGTATTATATTTTGTTTCTTTATTAGAGATGATGTCAAATAATCTCAGTTTTGCCCTTTGTCTACAGTGAGACAAAAATATGTTTTCTTAGCTTTTTGAAGCAATCCTTTAAGGAATAGTAGACTTCACATGCTTTCTGTCCATTAATTCTCACAAAACCCAAACCAAGTTAATATATCTAAATAATATGTTATATATAAGGATAGCGTAATACTGTCACATTATCAAGATTGAGGAAATAAAAGGCTTAGCAACAATAAATAAGTTGGCCAATATCATCTAGGCAGAGATTCAAGAATGGATGATTCCATTTGATTCTGACACATTCAGCCATGGACTTTAGTCCCATTCATTAATAACCTCACTTTTTCAGGAAAGCTCAGGGGGATGGGGCAGCAGGATTGGCCCTGCTATCATTTCTGTCCCAGAATGATCCTCAGCCTTGTTTCCCCAGGGCTGGTCATAGTGTGTTAGCACAGCCTGGCCTCGTGGGACTCTGAACCCCACCACAATGGGCTATGTATGTTTGGTTTATTGTTTTGGTTGTTGCCCTTTTGATTTTTCGGCTTGGGGTTTTTTTTTTCCCCAACCCACTTTTTTTTTTTGTTTTTTTGGGAATTCCTTGTTATTTCCGGATTGTTTAAAACTTTTAAAAAAAAAGGCTTGGGGAGGCTTTTAAACTTTCTTTTTTTTTCCCAGGAACCAACCATTCTTTTAGTTTTTTTTCCTTCCCTTGTTGGGGCCCTTTTTTTTTACCAGTTTTTTTTTTTTTTTTTTTTCTTTCATTTTTTTTAAGAAACATTATTCTATTTTATGAAAAACTACTCAAAACATTATACTTATGGCTATTTCATATTTCATCATGCATTTGTGTACTGCATTCAGTCAACCACAATCCTATTGAGGAAGTAGATAGCTTAGTAATTTCAAACACCTACTGTGGGCTCACACCAGACTCATTCCAAGCCCTGGCTCTATCACTTGGAGTTACACAGCCCTTGGTAAGTTGCTTAACTTGTGACTCAGTTTCCTCACTTGTAAAACTGGATAATAACAATGCTGAGTTTGGCTGGGATGGTTTACATCAGGCGCTAAGTACTACGTTTTACATAAATTAAAACCTTAATAAGCATTATGTTCTGCTTTTGTGGAACATTTAGTTTGGTTCCAAAGTCTTAGCACTACAATAGTTTTTGGATGAATATGTTTGTGCCTGCATTTCCTTTCCATAGCTCTTGAGTTCCTTATCTCTGATTATTTTCTAAGGCTACAGTTCTACAAGCAGACTTACTAGGATAAAGACAGCTACAAGGGAACTTTATTTATTTCTGTCCCCACCAATCTTTGTGTTTCAGCCTGTACTATAAAAGCTGTACTATAAAGAACCTTTCTGGATATTTCTTTTAGAAGGTTCTAGATAATAAAGAAAGAAGAATCAACTTCTAAAAGACAAATGCTGGATTTTTTAAATTATTGGAGTTTTTTCCTCCTACTTGATTTTTTTTCCTTAAAATACAAGCATCTCCTCTAATCTCCTTTTACTTACTCAGCTATATCACAGCATTTAATTGCTGTCTCCCCAGGTCAGACCAGTTTAGCCCCATGGTTGCAATACAACTTCATCAGGCCAAGCGCAAAGATTTGACCATAGCCAGCGTCAATTAGCAAAGTAAAGACAATATACCTACACTACAAGGTGAACATCAGAAGCTCAAGGCAGGGAAAATGATATGTCAGCAACCAGCTCACTACCACACCTTGAAAAACAAGTCAGATGATGAATCATTCTGTGGATTCATGAATTATGCCCTCTACGTGTAAGAACAGGAAGGTGTGTGCAGGCATAATTGAGGGGCTATCTTCATTCATACATTCCTGAGCTGTAGGCACTTGATACATTTAGAGAAAAAAAGGTAAGAAATGTAGATATATCAGTTATATTGCAAAGGCAAAGAGTAAGAGGAGGAAAGATAAAAAGCTGCAGCCATCCAATAAATTTTCTTTTAGATGGTCCATTCAAAATGAAGGTCTATATGCAAGAATGTGCAACTTCACATTTATCAATGGCCAAATATTCTTCAAAAGCACAGTCTTCCTTTCAAGCATAGCTTATATTTTCTCCTGAGTCTCGATAATCTAGCAGACACTTGCCAAGTTTTAGTTGCTCGACACCAAGATATACTTCCTTGTGGAAATGCTATGATAAATAAGTGGCAAATAGGGCTTTCCACTCAAAAAATTTCAGTGGAGCACAGAGATTCTTTCCC